CTACTACGACTACTACTACCACCACTGCTGCTGCTGATACTGCTAATTGCAGCTTAGGGGTCCTGCGCACTTCTGCGGCCCAGTTGCTGTCGTGGACAGGCACCATGCCGCCTCGGGTTCAATTTCTTGGTCTTAAAGGGATCATTTGGGTGTTTAGTGTACGGGTTTAATAGGGGTTTCGGAGTGTGAGGCTGAAGCTTGGGGGGCAAAAGCAGGTGCAAGCAAAAGCATGTTGGTCTCGAGACTCTAGCTTAGCGTCAGGGCGACCACCTGCATCTTTTAGGCTTTCGCGCACGCCACATGGAATCTGATTGAAACTGCGAACCCTTCCGGACAGCTTCTGCACCAAAACTGCCGAACAGCGCCCATATGCAGCCACTAAGCTTTCGGAGTTCCGAAGGCCCAGGATGAGCTTTCCCAGCTCCAGTACGCCCTCACTGCACTGGCCATTCCAAACAATGCCTGCGACAGGGCGCCGCTAGAAATATGAACATGGCGACTGCTTCTCAAGGAGCTGGCATGAGGTCGTGACTGCGTATTGGAGATCTGGGCGTTCTACAGGACATACACACACAGAGATCAGCCAAAACCCGAATTACCCTGTCTTACCACTCGCACCCGTCGGCCGGGAGCATCTAGCTAAGCTGTTCAAGGCTGCATCAATTTCATCAGTTACCTATAGGCCCCTAAGTAGTTCCTTTTTAAGGTTTATATTTAGAATCCTTAAGGCAATCCCAAAAAGGAACTACTTAGGGGCCTATGGGTACACTACTCTTCTTGCGAGCTCTGCTTGTGCCGACTCCCAGCCTCCAGCAAGTCCTGTTCCGCATGACAGAAACAGCCCCACTCGACCTTGCGCTAGCCCATCAGCTCCATACAGGGCCTTAGCAGTCTATGCATGTCATGGAGGGATGGATGGATGGATGCAGGGATGCATGTAAGTAGGTGCATGTATGCATGCATGCATGGATGGATGGATGTATGCATGTATATGTGTGTGTGACAACGAAATGACAAACAACCGAACAATCAAACATGCAAGTAGGTAAACATGCACATACATCAACAACCAAGTTCACAGTGCTAAGCAAACACACATCTGTTCGAAAATGTGTAGTGGCATAAATACATAAACATAAATATACATATTTTATAAATGAATACATAAATACATGAACATATATATATATGTATACAAATAAACACACACACACATATATATATATATACATATATTCGTGTAAACGTAAACAGACAAACAGATAGATAGGTCGATCGATAGATCGATAGGCGGATTGATATAAACAAAAATCTAGATAGACATAGATAGAGATATAGGTACAGATATAGGTACTGATATAGATATATGATATGAATATAGTTGTAAAAAAAGACATAGGTAGAGGTATAGATATAGTTATGTATGGATAACGAAATCGATTTAGAGACATATGTATATAAGTATAAACAGATAGATAAATACACGTATTTATATACATATATATATATATAGATAGATAGCTAGATAGATAGATAGCTAGCTAGCTAGCTAGGTAGGTAGGTAGGTAGGTAGGTAGATAGATGGATAGATAGATAGATAGATAGATAGTGTGTGTATATACATATATATACATGTATATGTGTGTGTATGTGTGTGTGTGTGTTGATGCTCGTGTGTGAGTGGCACAAACTGCAGGACAGCACTGAGAGCCCGGCTGAAGCCTCACCATCATTTACCAGGGCAGTCACGCAATCGTTATCGACCTCGGCGGGGTCAGAACATGTGCGGTCTCTTCGTTAAGCTAGCTTACATCCTGTCAGAGTGCAGATGCTGTGCACTAGATATGAGGCCTTCTGCAGTGGGCGGTCTATGGTAGACGCTCTGATGCACAGTGCATGCCACATGCCAATACACTACCTGTAACCAGCATCATGCTTGCAAGTATGGATATGTGAACATATGAAATGGTACAGTATGATGTCCACCTCAGAATAACTACGATTTACTCCGCAATGTGCTGTGATCTCTGTCCCAGAATACACTGGACCTTCGCTTAGCATTGCACTGTTTCAAGCCACGTGCTGCATTGTCAATGCGATGTGAAGTCAAAGCCGTATTCTCCTACGCAATACAGCCCATTGTTTCACTTCGCATGATCAACGATCCCCAAGGCATCCTAGAGCCGTAAACAGGGTTTAGGGTTTAGGGTTCAGGGTTGAGGGTTTAGGTTTAGGGTTTAGGGTTTAGGGGGTTTAAGGGCTTTGCTAATCCCAAAGCCCCATGACACTAAAGCCTATGTCCTAAACCTGCGGCTTTTGGGTTTTAGTGCGCAAGGCAAAGGGTCTGTAAGCATGTCAGCCATGGCAGTGTCAAGATGGGTCTGCTGTGCAAGGCATTTTTGAGAAATGCATTCCATAGCAACCTGCCTTGAGCCCTCATGTTAACTAGACCACAAGAGCTGTGTTGTTCATGCAGGGGTATGTTCGGAGTTGTGCACAGCTGTCACGAGTCACAGTTCGACGCCGTCGATGACGGGGCACATGGCCTAAAAGAAGGAATCTCCGTGATGAGAAATAGTGACGGAGTAGGAGGCTGACACATATGATTTGTGCGACAAACGCTCATTTTGCTGCTGATTTGATCATAGGACCATGGGACGTTGAACGGCTGACTTGATCGATGATAGACCAGAGCCTTAAACCAAATGATCGCGGATTCTCCTGAACACGGAACTTGTTCACACGTTCTACATGAAGCTGTTTGATGCAGTCTGACTACAAAGCATAAGTCAGGAATGATAGCGATAACAACCCGGACCGACACATGACGAGCTTCCATTTGCTTCCCAAGCCTCTGTAAACGAAACAACGGATTGCGAAGCTTGGAGGGGGCTGGAGGTATGCACTGCATGCACTGTTTGGAAATTCGAGCGCCGCCTGTGCGATTGTCTGAACCCCTTACCCCCAAAGGACTGATAGTTTAAGGCTTTCGGGCCCAAAGTCCCTATTATATAAGGCTTTTGGTGCTAAGGGCTAGTAAACCTAAACCCTAAAGCCCTAAAGCCCTAAACCCTAAACCCTAGTATATAAGGCTTCTGGGCTATTTTGATGCTACGGGAACCAGTTGCATCCAGGAAACCCCAGGAGCCCACAACCCTGAGGGTTTAGGGTTTAGGGGTTTAGTGTTTAGGGGTTTAGGGGTTTAGGGTTTAGGGGTTTAGGGTTTAGAGTTTAGAGTTTCTAACCATTCCAATAGAGTTTCTGGGAAAGAACAATCTATAAGAGTACATCTATTCTGCACCCTAGGCAAAGATATCATGACTTCTTCAGGCTCAGTAACCCTCGACTCCTAAGTCCCACCGCTCTCCGATCCTGGGATTAGGGTTTAGGGTTTAGGATTTAGGAATTTCGGCCGGCGCGGTATGTAATTAAGGCAGGGAGCGTAATGATTACACCGTAATCATTGGTGCAGGGCACTGGTGGATATTATAGTCTAGCAGAGCATGACAGACTCTGACGAATAGACGAAATGTGCAGACCCGTATCGTTCCGAGACACTGGGTGATGTAGGCGTAAACGTGTGACGGTCGGAATGACGATGCTGTGCTAACACATTCCCAAGTATGGCCGTCAACTCTCTTCATATTGCACAGCCCGCAATGATTCATCCAAACCAAACAATCAGACCACTCGATTTCACTCAACACGCGCGAAGGTCGCCTGCTTAGACTGCCACAACTGCTCCCAAGTCCGTCGGCACGTCGCACTGTCTGTCGTAGTTCCATCCAAAGCAGACCAACTGACCATCTGATCTCACTGCACACGTGTGACTGTCGCCTGCTGAGACTGCCACAACTGCTCCCAAATCCGTCGGCACATCGCATTGTCCGCAGCTGTTCCATCCAAAGCAGACCAACTGACCATCTGATCTCACTGCACACGTGTGACTGTCGCCTGCTGAGACTGCCACAATTTCTCCCAAATCCGTCGGCACATCGCATTGTCCGCAGCTGTTACGCCCAAAGCAGACCAACTGACCATCTGATCTCAATGCACACGTGTGACTGTCGCCTGCTGAGACTGCCACAATTTCTCCCAAATCCGTCGGCACATCGCACTGTCCGGATCCGTTCTCTCCAAAGCAGACCAACTGACCAGCTGATCTCACTGCACAAGTGTGCAGGAAGCCTGCTGAGACTGCCGCAACTGCTCCCAAATCCGTCGGCACATCGCATTGTCCGTCGGCGTTGTTTCCAAAGCAGACCAACTGACCATCTGATCTCACTGCACACGAGTGACTGACGCCTGCTGAGACCCCCACAACTGCTCCCAAATCCGTCGGCACATCGCATTGTCCGCAGCTGTTACGCCCAAAGCAGACCAACTGACCATCTGATCTCACTGCACACGTGTGATAGACACCTGCTGAGACTGCCACAACTTCGCCCAAATCCGTCGGCACATCGCACTGTCCGGATCCGTTCTCTCCAAAGCAGACCAACTGACCATCTGATCTCACTGCACACGTGTGAAAGCCGCCTGCTGAGACTGCCGCAACTGCTCCCACATGTGTCGGCACATCCCGTTGTCTTTTGGCGTTCAACCTGACGCAGACCAACGGAATATCTGATGTCACTAGACGCACGCGCCTATTGCCGATGGAACCTGTAGATTTGAAGCCATCCCGGAACACTCGTCCGTAGGACATCTGCCGGACATGTTCCTTGGACAACCTGCTTGGACGTCTCTCGCGCCACCACCAGGAACAGAAACAAAATGAACCAAAACACTCTGTTGAAATCGAGGATGTCAGGCAAAGCATGGCGAGCTCCAGAACGACTCTGGAAACATACATTGCCGCAACAACAAAATGATGTGCCTCTTATCTTTCTTTTTTCATGCCGCCTCATGACTCAAAATACACATTGATCGAAAACCAGATTCCAAAAGACGAAAAGCCAAATGTGACGGCAGGTAGTGTGCCAATGAGATGCGATGAGCAAAATATCTACTAGGCTCTAAACCCTCAACCCTGAAAGCCTGACAAACCGACTACCCAAGTTCTCGTGTGATGGCCTTTCCATGGTGAGGTCTATCAGTCTGTCTCTTCCCGAGCAGAAATGCAGCAAAACACTTGTGAATACTATTTGTTCTACAGTCTGAAGTTTAAGCTTTGATTTTTAGCTTGACCGCCCAACTACCCTTAATTATACCATATTGTATACCCTGACAGACCATCAGGGCTCTTCTACGGGGCACTTGGGGGTCCTGAGGTGTCGGGGGTGCCTGGCACAAGTTTCCCTATTTTCGCAAAAGACCCTTGCTTGCGACTACGCGTACCTTAAAGGAACCGTTGTAAAACCCTTACAGGATCCTAAGCCCAAAGGGGTCCTGGGTACCTACAAGGTAAAAATAAGTAGAGTTGCTTTAGTATAGTAGGAAGTAATACTATTGGTTTGGGTCAGCATACGAAGCATACCCAAACCCTAAAAACCAAACCCTAACCCTTAAACCCCAACCCCTAACCCTCACCCCCAAGCCCCAAACCCTAGCTACTTAGGACCCTTTGGGAAAGGTACCGTTCAAGCTCAGTAAGTTTAGAAGGTGGCATGGTTAGAGATCATGTAGGAACGTAGTTTGAAAAAAAACGTGAATTAAAAGCGCAAAACCCTAAACCCTAAAACCTAAACCGTGAAGGTAGAGGGCAAGCATCATCGAGGCGCCATCACAGGCAAAACAAAGCTAGAATAAAGGCATACTTAAAGGATCATGGAACTTAGTAACTAGGGTTATAAATAAGGTAACTATACTTATAATTACTTATAACCCGAATTAAGGTACTTATAACCCTACTTACTACGTCCCATGAACCTTTAAAGTAGGTAAACTGCTAGAGAGTCAGTGCAAAGACAGCTCATCTTCTCCGTCGTCGTCAGAGGGCTCGAAGCTGCTGTAGTTTTTCCCACGTTCTATGCGTAAGTAGTTATTCTATAGAGTTGTAACAGGGATCCACTTAGGGAACTCAGAACTCTACGTATTACCTACTCACTATGTCCTCCGACCCTCCGAGTAAATTACAGACCCTAAACCCCTAAACCCTAAAATCAAAAACGTTATAAACCCTAAACCCTACAATCCTAAACCTCATAAACACTAAACCCTACAATCCTAAACCTTATGGACCCTAAACCGTAAAATTCTAAACCTTATGGACCCTAAACGGTAAAATCCTAAACCTTACAAACCCTAAACCCTAAAGTCCTAAACCCTACAAACCCCAAACCCTAAAGTCCTAAACCCTAGAATCCTAAGCCTTAAACCCTAGATCCCTTTAAGGAACCCTATAGATCCCTTTAAGCAATCAACACGACGACCCTCGACTCCTTGACGTTAATCGGATTTGCCGTGGGGTTTAGGGCATCTGGCTCCACGTTGCCCTAAACACAGCCGTTTAGGGTTTAGGGTTTAGGGTTTAGGGTTTAGGGTGCCCCCGTAAGACAGCCTAGGGCATACAGCAAGGGCAGGGCCATAACGAATCTTCAGCTAAGGTGGGTTTGTAGGAAATGCATCCAGGATCGCCGCAGCCCGGAATGAGTTTAGGGTTTAGGGTTTAGGGATGAAGATTCTCGCACGCTCAGCTGGCTCTGAATATCATGCAGCAAGGTCGCTGCGCAGCGCCTCGGCTGTCACACCGCATGTATGGGGTTTTCCTTATATTATGGGTACTGCAGGATTTATATCATCAACCGTAGTGGTGACATGACGTCACGAACATCTCGGCTGGCTCAGCATACGAATATGAACTGATTCGTCACAAGTTTCATTTCCACCACGAAATCTACTCTAAACCCTAAACTCTAAACCCTAAACCCTTTAAGAGCCTTGCTCGGTCCTGGCTTCAGGGATCCCAGAACGGTCCTTCTCCGTCTCAAGCCAAGCTACTCGTGGATGCTGCTCAAGACCTTCTTCTCCAACATTTCCAAGTCCTGCAATGGGGTTTAGGGTTTAGGGTATAATGGTGCACGACATTCGAAGCATCTTCTTCCATCCGTTTTGTCTGCCATGTCGATGCAGGGCTGCAGTTCTCGGAGTTACCATTTAGCTCGAGGGGTGGCATTAGGAATCTTCAACATCCTAAACCAAGGCACCCGAATCCCTGATCGTCTGACCAATGCAGCACATGGGCTTGAACCCCCAAGTACCAGAACTGCGGCCCGAACGCTCAGCAAAAGGATTGAAACCGAACTTTGCAACCCCGGTCCAAACTCCAAAAACCTACACCCTCAGTAATGCCTCAGGAAAATCGACTTGACAAAGCAGCAAGCACAGAAATGCGAAAACCGTGCATCACCATCACGTTGGTGGCACGGCAAACATACTGTACTGAGATGCACCGAGCAATATCCCACGAAGTACTCATTGAGACAACGCAAACCATGATCTCTATCATGGGTGACACATGCGTTTTTTCGCGGTCCTGCTGGGCTGCCTCGTGATTAACACCATCCATGGCAGGGGGGATGCCGCACAACTTCCCGTTCTTAACGCAACCAGCAGCACTCAGACCCAATCCGCATACATACTTTGTGTCGCAGTTGGGCACCTCAGCCAGAGCTGCCATTGCAGCTTCCGCAAGGTTGTTGATGTGCATCTTGTGGCATGTCAGCACCTGGGGATCGACGTATGTCACCTCTCCAGACTCGGCTTTCATCCACCATCGTGTCACATACTTGCCAACCAACTGCCCTGCAATATCCAGCACAGCAACTTTGATGTCTGAGCGGCCGTAGTCCACTCCAACGAAGACTTGTTGCTCCGCGGCCAGGTGATGGGAAATCGGTGCAGGCACGCTCCGCGTTCCGAACGGAAGTTGGAGCAACTCTCCAATCTTGTCTGTGGCATTATCTCTAGTAATGCGAAGTGGCCCGAACTGAGCTAGATTTTCTGCCAGCGCAGGATGCTCTGCAAACAGTGCAACCAGCGATGTCAATGTCTCTTCTTCTTCGCACACGACTCGAAGCGTTGATGTGCCCACGATGGCAGCAGTAATCGTTGCAGCACGCGCGAAGAGTACTTTAAGACCAAGCGACCGCTGTTCATCTCCTTTGGCAGGGATTGGGCAGTAATACACATAGGGGCTCTCAAAGTCGCTACGATCAGCAAGTATCCAGACCTTTTCAAGCTTCGAGGACTCCAGCTTTGCCGCGATCTCTCGCAGTGGTTGCACGGCGAAGTCGGCCATGGTCGGTGCTAGGGAAGCCGAGCTTTGCAAAATGACAGCAGATGTTGAACTCCGAAGTGCAGCTAAGGTTGAGGGTTCACATACCGGTAGGTCGAAGGTCGGTGTTTTATCACTATAACATCTACACTTCCAAGTTCAAGCGGGCTGCATCGGCTGGGCGGTTTAAGATGCTTTGGGACAACAACGCATTACGCAGTGGGAAAGGCTTAGCCGTGCCTGAGCCACCAACAAATACCATGGATCCCGTCAGCGAAAGCATTTCACAGGACAGACAAAGCTTAAAGACCGAAAGTGGATCTAGAAGGATCTCGGCCTACCCCCTACTGCCTCGGAACTACATGTGCAGATGGCCCTAAATGGAATCAAGTGCTGAAGGACTGACTGCTTTTTTTCCAACCAGCCACGGCCTCCCACTCGTGCTGGCCTCTCACTCTATGCGAACTTCTTGGTCATCATCTGAAGTGCTACCAGGCTCAGGCAATCGGAGGAATAGCGGAGTGCGGTAGGGGCACAAACAATCAGTGCAAGCAGACGGTTTCCATGGTGAAGATCAGGCGGCAGCGGCAACAGCAGATCCTGCTGCTGAACCTACTGTTAGATGACGAAGACTACTACTACCACCGCCTACCACCACGACACGGCCACTTCCGCGACCGCTACCACTAGCAGGACCACTGCTTCTACCGCCTCAACCACCACTACCACCACTGCCACGACCGCGACCACCCGCACGAGGACGACAATGGCGACGACAACCATGACTCGTAGTACCACAACCACCACCGCAACCTAACCACCACCGCTGCCAATGCAGCCCTGCTCAAGGCCAGCTCTTGCCGCAGCGACAGCAGCGACGACGAGACGACAGCTACACACACACGCACACACCCTCATCACCGTTCGTTCTGAAGAGTTCTTTCAGTGCTATACCCATGTTATGGCTTCCTGCTCAGAGCATGAAGAGTAGAAGCCCGTCATCCGAAGCGTGCAGCTATCCTCAGAGCTCCTCCTAAGGCGAGCCGTGGCCCTGACTCGGACTTCTTCCCCGGGGGCGACGTCCAGAAATACCTTCAATGTGTCAGGGCTAAACCATTTAGGGTTTAGGGCAGTTTAGGGGTTATTGGGTTAGGGTAGAACTGTTTTAGGGTTTGCAGAACCTTTAGGTATTTTGTAAGTGGGTCGACTAGTTGGCGAGGTATGCACATTACGTATTCATTATGCACAGGTGGCAAAAATAACAATATCCACAAATCCAGGGCCCAAAGAGGTAATGGCTGATCGTAAAGCGAATGGACCTGGGTGCGAGAGCCAGCCCATGTGCCCTGTAGTGTTCAGCTGCCGGGGCAACAGGCTTGCACAGTGCGACTGCTGTGGATACCCTAAACCCAAAACTCATAAACCCAAAACACATAAACCCGAAACCAATAAACCCAAAACCCATAAACCCTAAACCCCAAACTAAGCCAAAGAGACCCCAACAACCCTGCAACC